AAGATCTGGGGTGTGGGTGTGTATGGGTGCGGGTATAGGTGTGGATGCGGGTGTGGGTGTGACTATGGGTGTAGGTGTAGGTGTGTGGATCTGGATCTGGATGTGGGTATGAGTGTAGGTAAGAAAGAAGACTAAAAGAACACCCACACCCTTCAAAATCCTTCTTTTCTAAGTCAACAGTGATCACGATGCTGCCATATAAGGAAACACTCTGAATTAGTAATTTTGCTGTCGGCATAAATGTTTACCTTCTTTTTTTGTTAAGTATTTAAACACTCTCGAATATCACATTTAAAGGCAGAATAAAAAAGTACCTTTACTGCGTAAATACACCTCTGCGCAGGTGTATTACATTTGTATTTCTTTCTCGTTGTTTCGAATTTTTACTAGTTCTCGTCATCCATACACTAGCTTCAAGACGAATATTGTATTACTTCTACTGTGCTGTAATGAGTTGGCTATCAAGCGTCATTCAAATATTATTATTAATTTTTCAGCAACAAGTTTATGCTCTGCATTCCTTTGATCCGTATAAACATGATGGTTCTTGTACAGCATCGATGTTGATGTGTTCTTTTGAGCTGCATGCCACTGCAGCCATGACTATGTTCTACAAAAACTTGTTTCGTGTTATTGCTTCTGACAATGGCACATTGTACCAGTATGATAACCTTAATCGAACATTTCCGATGACAGATGTTCTCACGGGTGATGGTTATCCAAAACTCGTACGTATTTGTCTTGTATTTTCTTCCTTTTACTGGAACATTCTACTTCTGCTTGTTTTGCTTAGGTTTATGTTTTCAATAATTCTTTACCAGGTCCTGTCTTACATGTCTATCAAAATCAAATAGTGCGCGTACGGATCTTTAATGATTTTACAACAGAATCATTGAGCGTTCACTTTCACGGTATACGACAAGTGAATACACCTGAAAGTGATGGTATTGGACGATTAACACAACTATCAATTTTACCCGGATCCAGCTTTCTACATGAATTTGTAGCAATCGATGCGGGTACATTCTGGTATCATTCTCATGTACATTCACAAACGGCAATGGGTCTTATGGGCGGTTTCATTGTTCACCCTAAAACAACGTCTGATAGGGAAGAACAAGGCGAATTTGTCCTTCTTCTAAGCGATTGGCAACATTTTTACACCAGTGAACAACATCATTTGCTCATTGAAAGTGGTCAATTCTATCCGAATGATCTCGAATCATTAACACAATCAGGTACAATCGATTATTTCGAAGCCATCGATGGATCGAGAGCTGCTGAAGCGCTTGTTACTTCAATTCTGATCAATGGTCGTGGTCAATATATTGATCCACGCAATGGAACGACGGGTTCAAGTACGACACCATTAGAATATCTGAAAATTGATTCTGTACAGAACAATTCCACTTATCGTCTTCGTTTAATCAACAGTGGTAGTGTTTTCTCGCTGAAATTTTCCATCGATCAACATCCACTAAAAGTAATCGCTTCCGATGGTGTACCATTTGCACAGCCAATAATCGTCGATCAATTGATTATTGGTCTTGGTGAACGATACGATGTTATAATTGATAATTTGACGACGATAAATAATACTATTAATTATTGGATTCGCGTCGATACAATGGACAAAAATAACAATACAAGATGGCATGGTCTAGCTATCTTACAATATGCAGCAACGAATGAAATGCCAATAAGCAAACCACAAAACTGTACTGTACTTCAACCATGTCGAATTTTGAATTGTCCTTTCAGTCAGTATGGTCCAAGCGATACGGACAAAAGAACACCTTTCATCTGTCTGACTCCACTAAATATGAGTACTCACGAGAATCATCTTGATCATGATCTACTCAATGAAAAAATTCAAATCAATATTAAGCAAATATTATCATTGACCACGGTCGAAGGTCAAGACGATCAGGCCAGTTTTGAATCGTTCAATTACATTGGTATGAAATATCCATCAATGGCAGAACCTATCCTTCATAATCCTCGATTAGCTAGAGAATTATTACCTTGTTCAAATCGATCGTTAGGCGAGAATTCAGGTGAAAAATGCTATCATACCATTGTTGCTCAGTACAACGATATTATTGAATTACTTCTTGTCAATCATGACGACGATCAACATCCCATTCATTTACACGGATCTTATTTTCATATTGTCGAACAAGGTCTGGCTCTCTTGAATAGTACTACAGGAGAAATCATTGCTGACAATCCGAATGTGAAATGCGACGAACACGCTGTCTGCATCTGCAATCAACCCAATGCATGCACAACAAATAACATGCATCTTGTTAAGGATACAGTGATATTACCAAAAGGAGGGTGAGGCTTTCTAGAAAATAAACGAAAAATAAGAGAATATTCTTTAGATACATGAGAATACGCTTTCGAGCGCAAAATCCTGGTGTTTGGCTCTTGCATTGTCATACAGAACCACATCTCGATCGGGGCATGGCCATTGTATTTCATGTGAGTTACTAAACATATTATACTAAATTTTTGTATCCACTTTATTCACTCTAGATTGCTGAAGATCGAATTTGATCGAATTCTATCGAATAAATCCTGATCAACGACTATTATATACAATAACATTCTAATTATTCTGATTTATTCAATACGTTTCTTGATTGTATGATCAATTGCTTATGAAGAGAAATATTGTTCTTTTTTAAGAAATAAAACACTATTTACAATGCTACATTAGATGTGTAACAAATCTAGGAAAGAAGAGCACTTTAGATGGAATCGAGTTTAAAGCGAGTTGGTATGAATTTCAAATAACATTTTGCCACTCTTGGAAACTTTTCGCTTTAACGTGCATATTGGGATTGTAACCAATATCGATTACTGACCAGCCTAGATGTTCTTGAGTTTTTGAACGTGTTTCTGTGAAAATTGGTCATAAATGCATTTTTTCGCCAACCAAGTACTTTTTAGTAATATCGAGGAGTAAGGCTATAAGCACGTAAGTCTAAAAGAGCTACAAAAAATATAAGGCTGTAAGGCCGTAAGGCTACATGGAATATTAGCGATATAAGGGTTTTAGGCTGTATGGCTTCTATGCACATAATGCCGAGTGTTTGTGTGTCTATTACCGAGTGAAAGGTTAAAGTTTTGAGGCGGTACACGAAAGAAAAAAATGCTGCCATGCAGTATGCATAGATTCTCACTAGTTTGTGAATAAAAAACACTTGGGTGTGGGTGTGGGTGAAGAGAAGACTAAGAACCACACCCTATCCCCACAAATTATTTTCTTTAGTGATGACATCAGCAGCAGCAGCATTACTTAAAGAACGAGATGAATTTCGTAAGCGACAAGCTGATGCAGCAAATTTTCTTGCATCAAATGTGAAGCGTTAAAATATTTGATAAAATATCACCACAAAAAAGTAGTCAAGAAAAAATACCATTGAGTCGATCAACAACTTGTTCAAGTTTTAGAACTCTTAATAACTCGTCAAGCATGTCTTCCAGAGAAGACCTGTCAATACTAAGAATTATTGTCGAAGGATTACATGAACGTTTTCTTAGTGGACAAATTGATCCATTAACATTAGATGAAATTATAAAAGAATTTAGTCTTACAATTAATTCATCTGTTGGACATTGGCTAGCTTCTCAAGCACTTTTATCAAACGAAAAGATTGATATTAAAACAACAGATGATGTTCATAGATTTGTATATAAGCCATCGCTTGATTTAAAAGGTCCAAAAAAATATTCCCCTCTCAAACTTTTAAAAGCACGATATGACAACGGTGAAGATGCTGTAACTGTTGAGGATATACAAGATTCAATACAACAAACAAAAGGTGACAAAACAATTCGTAGTTTAATAGAAAGTGGTGGTATTGTGAAAGTAGCAAGTAGTAAAGGAGAAGTTTTAGTTTATATTGATCGTGATTTCTATCTTGGTATTAATCCAGAATTTATTAATTCATGGAGAAAAATATCAGTAGAACATTTGACCAATGAGCAGATTCACGACTTTATTCGTGAAAAAGAATATTATAGTTTAACAACAAATGCACCAAAACAAGCACAATCACCAAAAAAACCATTAAAATGAGCTGATCGACGTTCTGTTACAGTGAAACATAACCAGCATGTTGTTGATCAACTCAAAGATTATTCCAATACAACAAATACAAAATAATATGTACCTTGAATCTTGTCTTGCAATATAATTATTTCTAATAAAATATAGTAAAAAGAAAAGAAAAAAGAATTCTATTCAAAGTATACAATGAAATTCTGATCAAATACATATTGCGATAAAGAAAATATGCAGGCTAGTGGAAATGTAGGTCTGTCAGAACAAAACTGAAAGAAGTAAACTGTCCAGTACATGTGCTAGTAGTTGTAATTTATTGAGCGTCTTATTCTAATCTCATATCCAATGAAATTAAGTAAATCTATGTGTATAGATAAAATACAAAAAATTTCTTTTGTTATTGTAGTATGCTTATTGACTTAGTCAGAATTTTAATCTGTTGATTGAAGAACTCACATCAATGTCTCTGTGATTTTAGTTAGTTAATTGTGCGTGATTTGATTTTAAGATGATCATTCGATCAGTTATACTTCACGGAAGAGAATACGAAAAGAAAGAGTGACACACTTGGCACCTATAAAACTGAGATCTAACATAAGTGTCGTCATATACAATCAATTTGTTGTGATCATTATATTTTGTATCAAAGAGCATAACTATTGTTTTCTGTTTTAAATTCTCATTACATTTTACTGTTGACTAATGTACCACTTAATGACTGTTCATTTTCGAAAAGAATACTTGATTGGATTGTTTACCTCTAAGCATTGACCACTAGTAGAACTGTAATACAAACGCCGTGTTTTAAATAAGTTCTACTTTTCATCAATAAATTGAGCAGTTTTTTTCTATTACTGATTCCAATAATAGTAGTCGTGTTCAATAATTTGATCAATGGAAAAAAGATGATCATTTCAAGCGACATTCCGACATTCAAGCAAAAAAACTACTTCTTATCTACCACCATAGGTATTACATTATTTTAGGGTCAAAATTAACGAGTGAGAATGATTTCTCGTTGAAACAAAATCTGATCTCGTTTAATCATTCTTGTTGCAGAAATGATCCTTTTTCACTTGAAATTAATATTTTTGTCACGAGTCGAATGCTCGAATATCAATGGTAAATGCTTTGGGATATTGAAAAGATGCTATACTTACATTTTCAAAACTTTGTTCTGGATCAAAATATACAAAAATATAATTACAATATGAAACACGATTGATTTGAAATGATTATAGTTAATTTACGATAAGATGTGGGTGTGGGTGTGAGTGTCAAGATTTTGTAAAGAAAAATACCCACACCCTTTCTGATATGTTTGATTAAATGACAAATAAAGTATTTCTAATATTTGATTCTTCGATAATTTATCTATTAAAATTGATATATCATTAGATTCTATTTCATTACGTTGTAAATCAAATTCTTTACATTATTTGTCAATAAAACCATATCATACAATTATTTTCATATCAAGATTAATTAACTATTGTCAAGATAAATCAATCCAAGAATTCGATTTATGTTTATTAATACATTGGTCAAGAGTAGAACTTCGAAATTGATAAATTAATTTGAGATGAATTATAACTCTCTACTCATAAATCTCCATATTTCAAAGTTTCCAAGGAATTTGAAATACTCGAATGTTAACAATTTTCATATCGGTTAGATCACGATAGATTTTCTTATGTTGATGAACATTTGTAACAGATGTTAATGAATCTTTAAACGGGTATGATATCTTGCTAGCTGCAGTGATCTATTTTTGCTTTAGTCTAATCTTTTTTCTCACAATTGGACGAATCATATTTGTGGAAATAACCGGTCATGATCGTTTCCCTTTCCTCTTCTGCACTTATTTTTTTGTTTCCGTCATTTGTGCATGCTAAAGTTCGTTATCCCGTACGAACAAAGAAAAATATTCGTTCCATTCGCTGCCATCTATCTATTGTCCAAGCTCATCGAATGAATATAAAATGAAATATTATATCTCTTCTTTTTTTGCAGGCTATAAGTTTTTCTTTAGGTAATTGCATTTGGTTCGTTCTTATTTTTAGAAACATGCCTGGAAAAAGTATCGATTATCGACCTGCAAAACGATTCAGAATAATTGACAAACAAACTAAGATCCATATTTTGTCTTATCTAAATAGTAACATGCCATTTGAATTTCTGTACAAAAGATCGTTATTCAACATTTGAATGTTGCTCGGACAAAATGATTCTCGATCTTTTCGAATATTTCAATACAAAAGACATTTTACAATCCTTCTTCAACCAATCTTACTCCGGTGTTCAATTTGTGCATATTCGATCGACGCCAACAACTTCATGTGTATCTTGATCGTCAGATGCTCCTTCTTCATACTGATTATTTCTTCGATCAAGTCATTTTACTTCACGTTGAACATGTGATTATTTCTATTAAGAATTTTTCCAATCTTAAATCACTGTGCATAGTCCATAGCAATAAGCAGAAAGACAAATGTCATGACATAGTTATGCAGGTTAGATAGTATGATAATGAAATGAATTTTTAGTTAATAAGAATCAAATTAGAAAAATTACGAAGTTATTTACATAGAATTTCAGAGAAGAAAATATTCTGTCCAATTAAATAATCAAATTCTTGCGAAAATAATACAAAGACAATTTTGTCGATCGATTTCGAGATACGAGCTTTGGATTGCTTTCTTTGAATCTTCAAGTGTACTTTACATAGAGAATTGAATAGAAATATTCAAATTTAGAAGAGTATATTTTAACTAGATACCCAAATAGCTGTTGCATGTTTGATGCACTGCTAAATCGTTTACTAATTCGTTGAACTATTCTTTTGAAATTTTTATTGTACATATTCGATTTTCATAATTTCTATCAATAGCTAAATATTCTTCTGAATTTCCTTTGTAACCTCGACGTTCAATCACTTTTTTTGAACGAATAAGTGATAAGATGGATTCAGGATGCTAATCTAGTTTTACTTTACGAATAAACATTCTATGGATTATTCCAAAGATCGATCGAGAAAGTTAACAAAAATTTCTTGTATACAATTTAAGCGATCTATTGGTTCTTTTTTATAGTGTGAAAATAACAATAGATTTACTAAGAACCGAATATGAATCATCTATGACTGCGAAATGAAATCTACAAGCTAGTTATATTAGAACACTTTTGTGAAATTCATCCTGGAAAGGATCAAGAATATTCCTGGAAGATCCTCAAAAATCAGCAGCACACAAATTTTCGACCGAATACCTTTCATGAAACGTATAAAATGTTCTAGAACATTTTCAATCTTCCATTGTGCCAATGTCAGAAAAGCCTTCAGTGACTCAACTTTGGTCATCAACAAAACGTTTTTTTGTTTATAGATAAAGACATTTATCAAAAAGTGTTATGTATCGAGAGCTAAATGTAGTTTTTCCTTATTGCAAGTCTAAGAATCAAATAGAAAAACATAATGTTTTTTGTTTAGGTTGTCTCAACTTGTCAACTTTACTCTATGATTAGTTGGTTCGGAGTTGACTTCAATTGGATACAAAATGATCAAATTTACTTTATATCGTCGTTTTATTCGTCAAATCATTCTGTCAAAGAGTGATAAGTCCCAATAATATTCTTCGAACAAAATACCACCAGTTAAATTATTCTTCCCTTCTGAAAAACTCTCGTTCATGTATCTGATGATTTCATGGTCCAAATATTCATCAACTCAACTATAAGCTGACCAGTAGAGATGATCTATGTCTTGAACTACACTATCATGTTCGTTGTCTCAATCCTAATTTTAACAATTGACGCATATGCATGTTGATCAAAATATTGTCTTCTTTACCTTTTGTTAGTTGAAGTGAATGTCAAAAGCTGCAGAGGAACTCCTGACTGGATATACGTCAATACTTGGGACTGAATGTTTCAAAATTTGAAGGCGTTACAATGGGTCGATATTGATATTTACATTTACTGCACATTGAGGAACAACTAAAAGGTACTTCAAACATTCGAGGAATACGCAGCACAAAAAATTCAAAGATGCAAACGAATAAACTTGACACTCGTAACAAGAACTAAAAATCCAGGTCAAGCCCGTCTCCAGTTTAGCACCTTGCATAACATGAACTAGATTACTGGTGTAACTCTAAAAGATTGTTCCCACAAGGCGTGGAATATGGGTGTAGATAACGGATATAACACAAGTTGAGATAAAGAAAAGATTAAAAAACGAAAGAAAAACAATGCATATATGTATATGTATACTTTTGGCGTGCTGTCAAGACAGAACGATAAAGAAAAAGAAAAACAACAGAAATGGAAAGAAACAAAAATAACAATAATGAATGTTAGTATAAAAAGAAAACGATGTTCTTACAATTCTATGGAATTTTGACAATAAGAATTATTAATGGGTATTTATATTGTCTAATTTCCATCGGAAATACGACAATGTACATACCAGCTGGATGTGCAAGGTATGGTAGAAATGTTGTTTTCTTGGTATTAAATTTAATATGAAGAAAATAATAATATAGCAAGAACTATATGTTACATAATAAATTAATTGTAAGTTTATTTTCTTTAATTAACATTAGCAACATATAAAGAAAAGAAAACAAATACAGAAAACTTGTGTAATAAAAAACAAAGGTACTTACAGTTGAATGAAGAAAACAAAAATTCAGCAAAACTCTGGAGGGTTTAGTAAAAACTGCTTCGAGACGGAAAATGTAGCCGTGGTGTGCTCAGGTCTTTTTTTCTAAAGTTTTGCCCCTACTCCTTCAAGTTCGAATTTTCATAGTGAACAAAAATTTCAAGAACACACCTGATTTGATGCAGTTTTTAATGCTGATTCCACATACTTATTTATTTCGCGTTCTGACGGAGTCTTGGTAACAAAAACTGCTAAATAATAAAACATTTTTTTGTCTTTGTACTGTATCGAAACGGTAAAAAGTCCAATTTTCTCAACAATAGAACAGAATCTAAAGAAACTGAATAGGTACATT